CACTACGCGCTCCCTCGGAGACGCAGACAGCTCAGCAGTCGATGGCCGGCTATCCCACTGCTGCCCCATGGCGCGAGGTGATGAAGGGATGAAGAAAAAGGACAGGAGAAAAAGCTGCAGTAGGGGCTGGAGAGTGCAGGAAAAGGTAAGAGGCTCTGTAAGAGACCGAGGAGTCTATAAGGTTGGCGCAGACGAGCAAGGAGCTCTGAAAAAAATCCGACCATGGTTGAACCCTAACAAGACGGACACTGGAAAAAAGAGTGAGGACCACCACAGGAGGCCAAAGGAAACAGGATGGGACCTGAGCCCCAAGGCCTAGAAGTCGTTAAGCCCTGAAAGCTAAACCCCGAAGCTTAAGCTTCGAAGCCTAACTATTCGACAGGAACTGTTATTCAGCTAGGCTTAGACTAAGGCTTACCAAGAATCACCTAATCTTCGAATAATAAAAACAAGAAACCACTCAATATGAAAAACAACAAACGCGAACAATAGAAAAAACAAAAAACAAGTGAAAAAAGTTGAGAAAGGGGCATTCGTTCCACGCATTTGTCTGCGCACTCTCTTTAAGTGATTATCTCAATAACCGGTTATTCTCCCATTTCAAGCATTCGGATGATGTCGGCTTCCCCTCTACCACTCCGGTGCTGTTCCATGTTCAGGCTTAGGCTTGAACTCCATCTTCTCGACTCAAAGTCGTTGTGAGTACTATACACAATATTAAAGCCTGACGCATTGAGAGCAAAGGTATTAGCACTGGCGTGCGCATGTCGATGCGAAGAACTGACTTAGTTGGAAAAGAAACACTTCTGTTCAACCTCCTTCCCATTACAAGTTTCGTCGAAGGAGCTAGCTTAGAAAGAAACACCCAGTCCGGAGAGTTATTAGCACAGGACAACAAATTTGATCTCAGTTCCAGTGAATAGAGAATTGGCTAGTCACCTTAAAATTCCTGACAAAAACTTTCTTGAAGCCACATGGAACTTACGTATCTCGTTCTCTTGTCTGAACCAAAACGATGTTTGGCATAGCGCACATTCCTCGGAGGCGTCGACGAACGCGGTTGTTAATACCCTTCATCTTACGCCAGCTGGGCTTCAGTAGGTAATACCTAGTAGACTGATTAGTGAGTATGAAAACAAAACAGAGGAGGTTGCGCTGACGAAATGGTGATGCTGATACTAATGCTGACTTTGAGAATGATAACACAATTGCATTGGGGGCAGCAGCCGGCTGGCCGGCCATCGATTGCTGAGCTGTCTGCGTCTCCGAGTGAGCGCGTAGTGCCTCGCGGTGGGGTCGGCGACTGTGGGGCGTCTGGCGTCTCCCGCGACAGCATAGTGTCTCGTCGAAAGATGAACACGCTTTAGGCCTGGAAATACAAAACGGATCCCATTTTGCTTCTGTAATGGCCTGAGTATTCGACCTATAACGTTGCGCTGTAAGTTCGATTGTCTTCGAAGGTTTCGATTGGAGCAAGCAAACTCACACAGCGAGCGACATTATAATGGAACTTCGCTCGCTTGAGAACTTCAAATGTTTTATTCGTTTGACATTATAGGTGTGTGTCACCCAAAGATGAAAGGAAAGCTTTCAGCTGTTACCAAGATGAGATGCTTTCCCTTATGGATGTATTTCAGTTCAATGATCGTTTTCTCATAGAAATCCATGAGCACGCATACTCCTGTCAGTTCGGAACATTCATAGGGAACTGTGAAAAAGATCGGAAGGTCAGTATTAGCATATTACATTATATCTGGTATTCGTGACAAGGGAAATGAAAATGGGATCTGCCAAATGGTTTTAGGACTTGGATGTGATAAAGCGAACAAAGTCACTATGGACATACATGAATCAGCGCCAGGATGACTATCTTAACCCATTCTATGAGGTTGGATTTTGCTGATTAATTTGTTGTAGCACTTTTTTATGTTTCTGCTGAGGGCTCCACTAGTGAAGAGTTAGAAAACCTGGTTGCATTCATGATTTCCTGGGCCGCATCTGGGAGTTTCTGTCTGCTTTTTTTACCAGGTCTATTTTCTCGGATTGAATTGCAAAAGTTTAGCCAACGACGTTTGGTGTTTTATCCGAGTTGGAAACCCGTGCATCCGAGATGCATGTGTGGCATTCACTGTACAATCGTTTTGATGAAGGATTACTACCTCTTGAGAACATAACTGATATGGTGATGGTATCGATGGAGCATGTTGGGGTATTAGAAAGTCATATAGCTGCTTTACGTAATGTAAGTTCTCGTCATTTACTTTTTCCCCTTCCATTCCTCTTTTTCTTTTTTTCCTTTCGAATGTTCATACTGAAGTTTGTCTAGAGAAATGTTAGCGTAAATCTGTTTAAAGTACTCATCTGGATTTTTGTAAAATCAAATGCAGCTTGGATATATTTCGTATTATTGGAGTCAGAGGGCATTGAATTTTAGCGGATTGCCGAGCTAAAAACCCAACTGGGTAAAGGAAATGCTGCCGGATGTAGCAATTCCATGGCGGATAGCGGTCATAGCAGTGGAACAGGCCAGTCTGAAGAACGGCTTGCCAACAACGAGCAACGGCCGTCGTCTCGCGAAAGTGGCATTGGTGATCAGTCTTCAGTTAGTTTTTTACTCTCATGGTTTCCTTAATTTGTTAAGCTGGATCCATTGGCTGATTGTCGCTGTAGGCTTATATTTATTTATTTATTTTTTTACTGTTGTTGTTGTTGACTTGTTGTTAGATTTTCCTTAGTTCCTCATTCAGGATGAAGCTTTGGCACGATTTCCCCTTCGATGGCAACCACTTAGAGGTGCAACTCACTGCAGTGCAAAGTCGTGTCGAGCTGAGTTCCCTTCGGTGATAGATCGACGAATCCATTGTCATCGCTGTGGGAAGGTAAAAGAATTATGAAGTAACTTTAAAAGTTGCCACGGGCAGCACCATTTATTTCTCAATCAGGTCGTAAATACCTCCCCATGGGGAAAAGACGCTTATTTTGAGTTGGATTTGTTTTTCAGTGAATTAGTTACAATAATTTTTTTGTGTGGAACCTGCCTTACCTGTAGACCGTTTTTTGAAGATCTTCTGTCGGCGATGCGTTAAAATGACTGCTGATGGACGAGAACGAGTATGTGACGGTTGTCGCGATGAGACCTGAGGTTCAAACGGCGAGTGGTTCAAAAATGAAGGAGAGAGGGATGAATCAGTGATTGCTGAATTCACTGTGTATGTATTTTTTCATGATGATGTACAAATAGTCTGTTTTTTTCTGTATAATGGGTCATTATTGGTTCTCGTCCGAGTTGATTTCTANGAATCCCGAGTTGATTAATTCTTTGTGAACGAATCTTGTCGAGTGTCAGGTGACGCTTTATTCAGAATTCTCATTTAGCATATTGATACGTTTTTTCATAAGAAATATTTGCCCATTGTTTTCCGCTTTCACTTATTTTCAAACATCTCTTTATCAAAGTAAAATCTGTGTAGTTAGCCAGCCGACTAGCACAGTGCAAGGTGCATGCTGGAAAATAGACATTGATTTTACGCGCACGATAATAGGTATCGTACACCATGAACATGTGATGAGGAGGCTTTCTGATTCGCGAAAGCTGTCTCATCTTAGTTTTGATGAGCAATGCAAATAATGATCTAGTCTTGTAATCAGGTCAAGCTTGCGTTTCCTTGAGATGTTCATAATTTATCAATTTTTCCAACTACACTCTGTTTTCAGTGGAAATTCTTTCGTCGAGAGTTTTATATGATTTCAACTACTACAGTATTTTACGAGGAATTGCTTTCGTTCGTTATTATCTGTTCAATGATTTCTGTTGGTTGTTCCAACACCATAACGTCCGCGGGTTTTATGCTTGTTGTGTTCAGACATTAATTAGTATAGTAAATTCTAACGTTCGTTATTGTTTTTACAGAACTTCCCCACTCCAATGTTGAAAACAAGGCTTTTCTAGGCAACACGACGGTTATTGTTGCTTTCTGTTGCCTCATTAGACTAGAAGGGACATACTTTTTTCTTCACTATACGGCCACCATTTCTGATGGTCCTGGAAAGGATTGAGATTCTTCGAACACGTGTACATAGACCTTCGAATAACTCACGTCGTCTGTGGCAAACAGGAGTACCACTTGAGTGAATCAATGTGTTTGAGGAACACTGGCTCAATCGTTGATAAATCAACCCGAGAGGAAGGCCGCAGACGGCATTTGCCTCCGTTTTTTTTCTGAAAAACGTGACGGTGGTTTATGTCAGAAGTTGAGACAGCAACTACAATACCCACCCTAATTGTGTAAAAAAAGGCGAAAAAAACGCGGATTCGCGTCTTTTTCGTCTTTTTTTATAACTAGGTTAGTTTTAACTGATTCACATGTAATCAGCCACTGTATAGGGGTTTTCCCCTTGTAGTGTTTAGTTGAAGATGTCGGTACGAGTGTTATGTTATCAAATAATTGGTCTAATCGTTAGTTGCGGAAGCCCAGGTGCGTGCCCTCGTTCACTCATGTGTTGAGATGCGAACCCAGAGATTGACCTAGAATTTTATTACCCTTGCTGCTTTGTTCACAGTTTATATAAAACTTCTAACGCTCCAAATTTTTTGTCACAGAACCTCCTGACGAACCTAAGACCCAGAGCTCATTGTAAACGTGTTCTGCATTGTGTACAGGGCATACGTACTTTGATAAAACCTAAATTTCTTGAAAAAAATTTTCAAAAACTTCAAAATCCATATCAAACTGATAACTCGGTAACAAATATAGCCTTAGGTAAAAGCATAGAATACTGCGACTGATGGTGGGCCATAACTTTGCTAAGGCGCTCCAAATAAGAAAGCCATAGCTTTTGGTTGACCACGAGTACGATGCTTGACTATGCATGGGTTGTACCATTTTCCCTTTTTTCCGTCGGTATGTTCGAGCTAGACTATCAAGCAACGAGACCCAAACCTTTGAATTTCCTTTTTTAGCCGTTAATGGGGGCTTACATGAAGGCGTATGAATAAAATTCTATGTAAGCCGCCTTCATACGATTCTCAACTTGGTCGTAATTCGAGTAAAGTAGTGTTAAATGCAGAAATTATATCGATTTATAAGAGAAATGCAGATGACAGATAGCTGTCATAAAAGACCTTCAACCTCTTTTGAGGCCTTCAGAGGCACAATTCAGAATCGGTAGCTTCATTTCGAAACAATAAATGATACACCCTAAATAAAAGACTAGATATTTGGCACATTTTGCACTACATTAGAACTATCACAAACTATACTACAATAAATAACAGATAATGAAAGAGATCTACCCATAGACATACACAATTCTGAGATAGTTGAACAATTTGAAGCTATTTCTAACGTCATGAGTTCTGATCCTAATTCATTAAATGATTCTCAAAAATAGGCTATATTTCTGTACATTCCCCGTGGTGGTGGTGGCTGTGGCCTATGGTCGGAGCCCTGAAATTCAGGTAAGCATTTTTTTATTTGGAGTGCTCCTATATACTCGACTGCGAATACATACCAAGCTTTCTGAGGAGCTCTGATAGCTATCAGTGTCTGATAAAGATCTGAAAAATGTCGAGCAGAGTGACCTAGAAATAATGGAACTTCTGAAGCTGTGGGCGTGGGAACTCACGGGTGAACAGCAAGTACGATGTCGGCAACGGTTCTCGGTGGTGTCGTAGCCGACCTCATTTTACGGTGTTGTTGTCTCTGTAAACAATTGTTGTTGTAGTAATGGCGAACTTTTCCAGATTGAGTCTATCGAGACTCTAGAAGAAGTTAAAGCCCTCGAGCACAGCTATCTATCACTTGCACTCCCCGCAAATAATGAATATCATTCAATTCACGCTACTTTGTTCAAGTTACTGCCATGTTCCCAAGCCATTTGAGTTTCAACTGAGGGGCTGCTGTAAAAGAAAGACGTCAAACATCTATGAACTCACTAGATGGATTGGCGTTTCATAACCGTCAGCTGAGCTATAGATAGGTCCTTCTGAAGACGATGACATTGCCTGATTAAGGTGTCCATAAGCGAACTCTTGCGGTTTGTGCACCGCGTATGCATCAATTTCCTTCAATAAGAATTCTTCTAAAAATCTCTTTACGATTGTCGGTTTTCGATTTTCCAACAATTCATGCCATTACATCGTTATATCTGACCACATACCTCTGTCCGTTGCCATGTGATCTTTTTCGGTGCTTCGCGACGTCTGACTACTCTTGCGACACTTAGCACCACCAAAGCAGCAGCTACAAAGACCGCTACGCAGAGCAGTGATGCTAGAACCCCAGGCTTCTGGAGCAATGCCAAGTGGGCTGAACCAACAGAGCAGCCAGCAGATACATCGCCGCTGAGGGCTTTTGTGAAGAACTGAAAATGAAAACCTATCGAGGAGCGTAAACGAAAAAGACGGATGACTCAAGTACTGAAAAAGGAGGACGTCGTTTTACCTCACTAGAGTAGTTCTCCTCAATTTCGAGGGATTGCAGTTCTCCATTGACGACGAATCGTCGAAGACAGACGGAAAATTGTCTGCAATGTGTCCATTTCAAAGGCAAATACTATAATAGACTCTTTTGTAGGGTCACTCGGAGTTCCCTCGAAATGGGAAGCGATCCCGAACCTGTACTTTAGGGGGATAGTAATATAAACAAGCCTTTGTAAGTGTTTCGCAAATACGACTTCAACCTTCACCTGTCGACCGTCACGAGGCACCCGTGGACATCTCAACCCACACGTGCCTGGTGACGAAACACCTTCATAACTGCAAAGAAGTTTATTACATCCAAGAACGGTTTCGCTGTTGTTGGTGGGATCAGGAAATGCTCTACAGTGGATAACATTCTGAGGGTTCCACCGTGATCGCCGAGGTTTACGCTTTTCAGCTAGAGTTTGGCCGAAGTTATTCGAAGGAAGCGCCGGCAGCGAGGGACTGTTTATCTTCTTCACGACAGCACTCGACCGCATGTTGCGGAACTGTCTCGTCAGAAATGTGCCGAACATGGATGGGAAGTGCTGCCTCATCCTCAGTATTCGCTAGGTCTTGCTCCATCCGATTACCACTTGTTTCTTGCTCTTACCTTCGCGACAGAATGTTTGTTGACTGCTCGGATCCCGAAACTGAGATTTCAGCTTTATTAAAAGTGCCGGATCGTTGGACATATGTTGGGGACCATGATGGAGATTATATTACTGATTGAAACTTTTCTATATAAAAATAGGACTTTTTGTTATGAAGATGGATATCGATCAGGACTTTTTACTCAACATAATACTTTATCAAAGGCTCACTGGCAAAATTAAATAATCCATTCTGTACAAGGGTTGGCATTCCCTGCGTGATTTCGGAACTAATTCGGTGTAGGCAGAGTTCTACAACCACACATTGGTCTTGAAGACCATAGCGTTCATTCTCGAGAAAGAGCTATAGGGTTAACTTCTAAGGATACAACCACTGCACCCTTCTATAGGGAAGCTATTCTCTAATAAGAAAAGATGACGTTTTTACGGAGAAAATCGGTAAAACAATGCCCAATAACAGCATGAGGGAGGGGGATAACGGAACTTTGAGCTTTCGTTGCCCCATTTTCAGGCCGTTCGCCATGTCAATGACGCACAGAGCTTTTCAAGAACGCTATTCCCGGATCATCGGTACTTCTGCCCGTCTCCCACTAATCCCTTTTTGACTTCGTATGTATTATATTATTCGAATGACGAATTGAGGGTCTAGCCGATGTTCAGGCCAGGTATTATTGAGATGGCACGGCTGCTATCAGGTTAACAACTGCATAGAAAAAGATCGCTCACTTTACTAAAAAGATGCTATGGAATAAACTGTCCGCGAGAGTAGCCAATCTCACGACTTCTTTAGTGTGGCATAATATTCATTCAAGCGTAAGATTTATATGACCAGATCACCCGAGTCTGTACTTATCGAAAAGCAGGACAATGCACTGCTGATAGGAAATCACTGATTGAGCGGATTATTACAAAAGACACCAAACACAGTGCGATATTGGGCTGCTATTTCGTCGGCGATCTGTTTAGTCACCAGTGGACAAGATATAAAGATTATTGTCTCTCAAGGGTTGCCCTCACAGAGCTCTCTACAAGGAACTAAAGAAAAACTCACTCTCGCATTCCATTGACTCCAAGCTCGATCCGTTTCAAGTCGGCTGAGATTATCGACGGCAGCACTACACGTGACATTGCCTGCTTCCCAATCCCATCCACTTTGAATGTGATCTGGATGAGCTCGATTTGAGATTTAGATTTCAGCCGATGATCTTACTGCCAGCTTGACTGGAGTACTTTAGTTAGAGCTATGGCGAAGCGGTGTTTTGCGGAAAACTAATCCATCGTCCATTAAATAGTCGGTTGACCATGAATTAGTAGCAGTATATCTCTTATCTATAGAGCGGAAACTTGGTGTGCCGGTTTGTAAGTTTGTCGGTGTGTCGGTTAGCACGTTTGTCGGTATGCCGGTTTGTAAGTTCGTCAGTGTGTCGGTTTGTCGGTTCGGTCTGTCCGACCGCAAAACTTATGACTACGATAAAGGTAGTGATATGGAAACCTTGCTCTATTCTACACTCCCTCCTTATATATAAGGCATTAACTCGGTGAGTAGGCTAGTGGAGTAGAGTGAGTACTGCGGAGTGAAATGAGTGATGTGGAGTGAAGTGAGTACTTCAAAACTGATTTTGATCTGTACTGGCATTGTGCTATGCATGTCTATACAATATTCGGAGGTGATATTGTGGTTGGTAGACCTCCGCTTTCTCAACATAATTTCAACATGAGGAGGCTAGCCCATAATTATGCTCATTAACGTTTCCTAGCCGAAAATATGCAGTTTTTTGGTATGAGCTTCAGGAGGGAAAAGATGTCGAGGTGGGTGAGTCAATTGAATATTCAACTCATACCCATTTTAGCTTTTTTCTCGAGGTAATCATCCCGCCCCCAACCCGCCACTACTCCCCTCTAAGTACTTGGTCAATGTAAGGAATGAGGCCCGGCGTAAGCCGGGCGACCCGATTGGTTGTATATATAATTCGCTAAGTGTGCCTGTTGGCTTGTCGGTGTGTATGTGCATGTGTGTTTGTGTGTATCGGTGTGTGTCCGGCCGGGAATTCATAACTCCTTCATCGGTCCACGAGAAATTCATAACTGTCCCCGTGGACCTAGAGCATTCAAAGTTGATGGGAGTACAGGATGGGAACACTTATGGTGGGTGGCAGGACCGGACTCCGCCCACAGGGGGGAGGGGGAGTGGGGAAGCGTGTGCGATAGACATTTTGAGCCGCCAACTCATAACTCTTGTTTGCGTGGACCTAGAGCGTTCAAATTCGGAAGGATTATACTTTTCGTATTAGCAGTGGAACCTCGGCATTTGAATAAGTGGTGTAGGATATCACGGGATCGTAGGTACTCGGCGAACTGATAAGAATTGATAAGAGAAGGTGAGGGACCCAAGAGAGGCCACCTACCGATCAGAGTCCTCACGAATTCAGTATTTACAATGTAACTTTGACAATTCAGTATGTTTCATTCGATGAGACGGAATGCTAAAGTAGAGTGACAAAAGTGAGTGTTGAGTGCAATTAGAGGAACCCATTATCGGCAGTACGACAAGCAGATGGAAATTCTGTTCATTTCTTGGTGTCAGATTATGATCGCTACCCAGCAAGGTTTGTGACTTAATGAGGGATTCTATTCTACCGCCAGTAAATTCGAAATCTCAACTAATGATATATCCGTAAAGAGAAGGGTCCATTGAAGACGACATCTGATATTTTCTGATGTTTTCATCGCTCGGAACATTTGTAAGTACCGCCCAAGGCTTTGGTTGTCTAACAGCTGAATTTTTGATGAGTATCCTACTTACTATAAAGCGCTTCGTCTGTCTGTCTGTATGTATGTATCTGACACGAATTTCCTTGACTCCTTTAGATCTGCCTGGAGAGATCGGGTCAAGCGTGGGATGGGTGGGCATGCCCCTAGAAGTATAAAGCACACATCAGCTTGGCGGAGCCCCGTCCACTGTGGGCGTGGCGTGCATCGAAATGAGCTGTACTGAGAACCATGATTTCAAATTCAGTCACAAGACGGCTTTAAAACTGGGGTCTAACATTGGCTAGAGGTGTGCATTGGTGAGTTAGATGAACTGGGGAGACCCACCCCCGATGGGCGGGCCGTTCTCCAAAAAAAGTATGCTTTATGAAAACATTTAACTCGGTTTTGAGAAAGAAAACAGAGCAGAAAAAGTTGATGTGGGAGAAGCATTGTCGAAGGTGTCTCCAGCATAAATGACGTCAGCGGAGGCCTGCCCACAATGGGCGGAGCGTGCCTCAAAGCTCACACCCCTTCTTACACTTATATACGAAAACTCATAACTCCTTTTCCCATGGACCTAGAGAGTTTAAATTTGGCAGTAATACGGGCGGTATGACGGGGAAAGTTATAGTAGGTGACAGAACCAGGCTCCGCTCACAAGGGGCGGGGTTTGGGCGAAAATCCATGATTCCTGCCCCAATGGACCTAGAAAGTTCAAAATTGGTAGGAGTATAGGCGACAGGATGGGAACACTTATGGTGGGTGGCAGAACCAGACTCCGCCCACATGAGGCGGGGTTTGGGCGAAAATCCATGATTCCTGCCCCAATGGACCTAGAAAGTTCAAACTTGGTAGGGGTACAGGCGCCTTGATGGGGGATGGGTTTATTGTTATGGTCGCATAAGGTGAAAACTGAAAACTTGCGTGGTTGTCAATTTGCCTGCACACATGCACTAACCAAGCTGGCTGCAATGCATCGTAGCTAAAAACTAGCGTAAGAAGAAAAACGTGGTGACGAACCACTTTTCTGTCCCCACTGAGCTCAAGTACAACTTGATGCCAATTGCCGTCGTCCACTGATTGGCTACCAAGCGTGATTTCCACAAGGGTCCGATAACTGTTGAAGACGCGGTAACGCGCTACCGAAGCATGCACCTGGAATTCAAGAGGATTACATTTAAACAAAAAAAAAGTCGGAAAAGTATGTCATCGATAAATTCAGAATCAGTACTTCAACGACGGCGAGCTCCGATTCGTAAAACAGCGTCACTATTGTTCCGTGTGACTTTCGCGTGCGAAAATCAATCTCAATTGACTGGCTTCCATGGCAGAATGACGAATCAGCCGGAGACAGCGCACCAGCCGCGAGGATACTTCGGAGTTGTTCCGTTGGTGCTAGCGTAAAGGATCCAGAGGTCATCGAATAGGCTTGTCCAGCTGCAACAGATGAATACACTTTAACCGGTAATTGATTAGCACGTTGTACAGAACATACCTTTTGAGCAGTCAACAGCCTCAAAGCCACCAACGCAATGACAAATCGCTCGTCCACCTTCAGCTTGACATGTACCACCGTCGCATTTCATTTCAGAGCAGTTCATCTTACGCTTTTTCGACGGCTTCTTCAATTCGTACGGTCGTTTTCGTTTGAGTTTCCGATCTTTGTTTCGTATAGAACAGTCAACACCCGAGAAACCAGCAAGGCATCTGCAGATACCGTCGGAGCACATGCCACTGGAACCAGTAGTTGAATAGTAGTACGAACAATCACTCAGGATTTTGTAAAAAGGAAAAGTGCCAATTGGCAAGGATACCACCCACAAGTCTAAGAGACCACCTGTAGGAGATACCATTGCAAGTGTATTTTTTTAGAACGGGGCAGTTAGAGTTTGAAGGCCATCACGAAGATCTTACCGTCTCCTCTGCTCCCAATGAATGCACAAATCGTAAGAGAGGCTATTCAGAAAGTAGGAAACACGATCGAAAGCGTTAGGGTTGTACAAAGCTATAGCGTATGGGTGATGACAATTAGTATCACTATCAGAGATGGGAGATCAGGCGTATTAGGAAAAAGTCGTAGCTGTCAGGTGACCTTAATAATCACCTGTTCGACACATATATATGGGTGTGCAGTCATCGAAGGGCACGCCAATGTATCCTACATAAATCGATTATTCTATCTTACAAATCCTATTGGTGGCACTAAAACCATACCATACTTGGACAACCACTGAAAGGGAATATCCAACTATTTGTATAGCTTACTTGACGCATCCTTTCTCACAGCCTCTCATGCAGCTCCCAGCTGCTGAACATCGACCATCGGGGCAGATAATGTCACTGCAATGGTTCACTTCTTCACAATACTCACCAACGAAACCGACTCCACATTCACATCTGAAATAATCAATATCTATTTTTTGCACAAAACCGCTTCGGTTGTTCCAATTTTGGACCTTGTTTGGAGAAGTCCGTTCGGAATACTCCAAATGGATTCTGATCCGTAGAAGGTGGTACTGGCGTTCTGCAGTGAGACCAGCTGACGGCATATTCCGCCGTTGCTGCAGAAAACACTATCACATAAAGACGTCGACATCGACTGCAAGAGTGCGTGTGGAAAATCGTTCCTTTGGAAGAAACCATGCAAGATGTCACGCGAATCGTTCGAGGTGATCACTCGGTGATTACGATCGATCACAGCGAGCGATAGAGCATTGCGATGCTGAGCAGCGTCAACTTTGACCGCCAACGGATAGAACGTCTGGAAGCACGGTATCAATTCTGGCTAAGAGTACGAAGTCATTCACACTGCTCACCAGGTCAGTATAGGATCGCTGAAGCTCAGTGAGAAAATCAGCAACTCTGGCCGGTGCTGCGTAGAAGATGACTTGCAGAGCTGATTGTTGAAGCTCCTCCGAACTTTGTAGAGTGTTTAGCGTGATCTCGATTAATGTATCATTGATCATAACTTTCTGCAATGCGTTGCCGACCGATTCTTTCACAGTAATATGGCAGTTACCTGATACCTATAAACAGTGGAGGTGATAAGTATCCCGTGTTCTATTTGAAGTTAGACGAACCTTATACGCCTCACTTTCGTTTGGAACACATTCTGGTTTTGATTCAAAAGTTATGGAGCTCAAATCGATCTCTGTCGGCGTATCGCCTAGTACGATAGTTGCGTTCATAATCCGAGGACTGACCGCATTTTCAGCATCAGCGTCGACGAATACCTGCAATGCTGGTAACGTGCAATAATAAGTCTTTCTTAGCTCAGCCATGGCCCGAAAGAGGGGGACGAGCGATTCGTGCGATTCTGGGTGCGCGCGGCGAATTGTGCGGCGAAATTCGCGATGATTCAAACAACTCTGGCGTCTACCATTGGGGCACAAACTTGAAGTAGAGTACTTCAGTAGGGTCGGACAATCCTACAAACTTATTTCACTCCAAATTTGGGCCCAAATGATAAACGTTGCAGTCGTCCAAATCGCACCGAATTTCGCCGCGCAATTTGTCGCGCGCACCCAAAATCGCACGAATCGCAACACACCCCCCGAAAGAGGATGGATGTGAGACAGTGATGCTCATTAAGAAGAAGGAAGGCACTGATTCAGTATTGAACAGCTTTTGCTAATAGATGGATTGACCAAAAACGGGGCCAATAGTCATTGAAACTGACAAGGGAAACCTAATGCCGAAAATGAAGTATATGGTGCATCTCGGAAACAGACTGAGTAACCCAAAGAATTATATTTTTCACATCTATATCACGTCTACTACTACAGGCATCTTCCTCCAGGCTCTCACAACTGCATCATTCCATGCAGAGATATTGACACAATCCTTGCTTCGCCGACTATGGGAATGGAATTAAGAATGAAGCCCACGTAAAGAAAACCAGCAATGTCAATGTCTAGGTCCAATAAAGTAAGCGGTACCCGAGCCAACGTACTAACCACAACACGCTGCGTTGTTGGTCGTCCGTATTCCGGCTGTGCAACAACCGGTACACCGTAGACACTTCGAATCGATTGAGTTAATGGTCGAACAGACATCAACATCCCTTCAGGGGATACAGAGAATATCTGTAAATATTTTTCACTCTGTGAGAATAATCAAATGATTAGCTCTGAGCAGGTGAATGCCTGAGAAAGTCTGATAAAGTTATCGGAGAACGATCAAGTATGGAGACAAGATCGCTTACTATTGGTAAAAACAGGGACACACTTTACTAGTAGTAGTATTTCGCTACCAAATATATTTAGTGGCATATTTAAAGGCACAATTCACGATAATTCAATGGGCGGGACGTCAAAGGCTTTCCCGCTTATCGATCGATGTCACGTCATCACGTCAGACGAGTGTCGAGACAATACAGAGTGGAACTATTCGCTCTAGGACCCACACACAATCAGCGGTCGCCGAGTGATGAGGCGATGTTTTTCTCCCATTCTTTTTTTCTCTGTTATTCTTTCTGCTACCGCGATCCCTTATTTAATTTCCTACTCCTAGAGGCTGAAAAAGATGAGCTACTTTTGCTGTTGCTAGGGTTTTTGTTTACTTATGCCTATAAGTAAATGAATTTTCGCTTATCATAGTCTGTTATTCGTACCAGAACCCACATGTACGCAGTGAGACACATTGTATAGCTCGTCCAAACGCCCCACTCTTCTTCATTTTTCTGGTCTCTCGTCCAGCCCCCTGTTTAACGGTTTCTCGGAGCCTTTTTCAGTTCGGAAACAGAGATTCACGCAGTTTCCCCACCTTCATCGCACAATTTTCGACCTTGTCTTCCCTTTTTCATCATAGTCCGGATTACCCAAAATTATCGTGAACTGTGCCTTTAACTCAACGAAAAATTGTTTACTAGCAAAGCTTATGTTCATCACAACAGCTTTATTTATCATCAGCTATTATACCCTCACTTCATAGCATCATTATTTTCATTGGCATTAGCCTACTTTTAGTCTAACTTCAACCCTACCTCTCTGAGTCGCCGATCACCAATACGATAAGCGAACTTCTGACCATGAACACTGTGCAATTGAGCAATCGCAAGTGCTGACACATTTTCCATCAAGAATCCCACCATCGGATAATCAGATGGAGTTGTTGGAATTACCGTAATGATTATTTCACTGCGAGATCTTACTTCGTTACCACATAACACCTGAACAAAATACAACAGATGTGCTTCTAGTAGCGTTTATATTACCAACAAAATTACCTCAGCAACCAGTGCGTAGCGAGGTTTTCTGAGATGCCCACAGAGAGCCAATGTGCTGCCCACTGGGAAGCAGAATGTCTAAAGATAAGGATTTCAGTCAGCCAAAAAAAAAGAGAAAGTAAAGAAAATTGAAACAAGCATAATTCAATTGAATCGTCGCCAACCTTTCCTCGGTCATCGCTGACAAATGCCAAGTAGCAATCGTTAGGTACAGACATTTGAAAGTCGTGGATTGTGGTGTTCACTGGAGCCATGTCGGAAACGTTGAAAGCATAGGTGGTTTTAGAAAATACTGGAGGTGGAGCCATATTAGATGAGATTAGTTGCAATTTGGAGCTGAAAAGTAATTATCTATCACGAAAGTGCATGGGTCCCCACAAAAAACCCCCATTTTCCAGTAATAAAGGTTATAGATTCCTTATGGTAGCCCCATAATCATCGTTACTCAACATTTATAATACAGTGTGTTTCAAAAGTATGTGCACACCCAACATTTTATGTTTTTGGGAATACCATTGCTCTCTGTAGCCTGTGACCTTCACCCTTGAATTCCTTGTGTGCGATAACCTCCGAACACTTTCTCTGAGAAAACATCGTAGCTGCTAACACAATTTTTTATTAAAGAAAAACTTTTCCTTTGTTTCAAAAGTATGTGCACACTTAGCAAAAAACAAAAATATAACCGAGATCAGAAACCAATAGGGCCTATTAAATTCCTGTATAGGTTATCGACTACGAGGAGTTGTTTGAAAATGGTTTC